TCCATTGAAATTCGATAAATGTCAAACATCTAGCAATTTCCAACCGAACTGCGTTTCGCTCATCCGCGAAATTGAATCTGCGGCGGCATTTTGTTGAACTACTGCATAAGCCACGTCTACTGTATTTATCAGTTAGAAATGAATTTAAAACATCTATTGCGGAAACAACTTTACTCAAACGTTAATCTTTTCCTTTATCTCAATTATGAATTCTCATTAAAGGAGAAGTTATATAGTATATAAATTTGAATCTTCCTCCTTTATCTTTGGCTCCTGCGACTTTGCTTTGTTTCTGGATACCACATGAGTGTTAGTCCTACTCCTCGCCCAACGAATGCTATGTTTTTCTATCTTATTTCTATGTGAACAATGGTATATCATGCTATAATATAATATTCTACTCCGGCGATACGTGCTGTAGTGGCTGTAGACACTGCTATCGTCGAACGGGTCATAGATCATCTGCTAGAGCTAACTAAGCTTTACTACACTTCATTGTATAGGTCCATTCAAATACCTTGTCGAATGAAGCCAAATGCGTGCGTCTCCACAATCGGGGATTGACCAAAACATGGATTATTGGCCCTTCTTTGTTTTAAGCGAATTTGTGCAGGCAAAGGAAATTAAACAATCAGTGAAAAAGCAAAAAAGTGAAGTTCATTTAAAATTGTGTGTCGATTGCTAATGCGACGCGGCGCAGAGCATTAATGGTGCAAAAACTGTGCAGAGCGTGCAAGTTGGCGCAGAAGATGTTCGTTATGCCTTCCAAAACGATATGCATGAGCTTTTTCGTTGGGGAGAAGGGTCAATATTCTTGCTGTAGCAGGAAGAGCGGATAGTTGTCAGAATAAATTTGAGGAATCCCTTATACGGAAAGGGATAGGGAATCTTCATCTAGTTAGTGTAAACTAAATAATTTGTTATTTATCATGACGTACAATATGGTTATTGTCACCTCAATCCAAAGAGCACGACAAAGCAGTATTCCAATAGGGTAACAACCTACATTTCTGTGTAGCCAGATTCCCGTTGCGATCACAACGGCAATCTGGCTACACAGAAATATCAAATCGATAAGTCATCCATCTTCGTAAAATCCAAATACTATTCTTTTGCCACAATTCTGAGACTTTGAACCGTATCATTCCGACATCTTAATTAGACATTCTCATTTATTGCAGCGGTCGTCTAGGAGTAAAGTTTTCTATACACTCTTCCATTAAATTCAATTAGCAAATTTCAAGGTACCTCTTGAGGCTCATTTATTTTGAAATCAAAAAAGGGCTTTTGGAACATACCAGTAGAATATAGATAACTGTTTAACAGTTTTCAGTGATTTTTTTGATTTTGGATATGTTCAAGAATGCCACAGGCACATTCGTATTGTTAAAATTTGTTCCTATCAACTTTCGGCGTTTTCTACCGCAGTGATAATAGTTAACTATCTATGTTTCAGAATGGGAGCTGGTGAACCTCCTGTGCTGGCTGCTGGGCAGCCTCTTTGGGTACGTCTACGGGGTTGGACGTTTTGCATTTTCACATTGATCTCTGCTTTATTAGGTAAATTTTTTTAGAACTTGAGATTATCATCAAAGAAGGTATTTTCAGGCTCAATTTATATAATAACACCGTTACTTCCGCTTATATTTCTTAAACCTAATTTATGGCGCAGGTGTATGGATCGATTAGTTGGAATATGGGTAGTTATGCCTGGGGTAAGTTTCCACCTTACCCTTACACATACTCAAACCGGTGAATGATTGCTTTTATTACATTTTGGACAACCTTGGCGATTATCTCTATGAAAGGGCTTGTCAAATATATTTGTATCTGCTTTAGGAAAGTCTCCTGTATTTTGAAGAATATAAAAACAAGCAATTTGCCTAATTCGATGATTGTGATAATATTTGCCTACCCCTACCTATCCCCCTTTTGACTCTCATTCTAAAATCATAAATCCCATTGATCTGGTATCGCAGAGCAATTTTAAGTTCTTTTTTAGTCTCTTATGAGTTACGTGTTTGGCGCAAAAATCCATGTCCGTGGAGATTTGATTGATCACAGCAAACCAGCTGTCATAATCATGAACCATAGATCAAGGTAGCTGATGTTTCTATTGTGATGTTCCTCACCTTGTTAAGTCTGAAAGTTTTCAGGCTGGACTGGTTGTACTTTTGGAATGCATTATTTAAAATGGATCCCTGGTTGTGCACTTCTGAAAAGATCGTTCTCAAAGGCATACTCAAGTATCTACCTGGAGCAGGTATGATTTGTATTGCACGAAGCACTGAAAGTTAATTTTGGAAAAAAAAAACTTACAAAAGGTGGACAAAATTATTACGGAGTTTTTTTTTCATACGATGTAACTCCTTTACACAGGGGAAGGGAGCTTAATCAATTGTACTGCCTTTCCAGCATCGTATAAACCAATGATCATTTATGCTGCACAGTAATTCTAACTCCTAGGGCTGTGATGCGTTGTATGTCTCTAGTATGCAACCAATAATACCACTATATTACGTTTTGTGCATCCTATTGTCGCTCCATTTTGCATTGAAAAACGGAATAGAGCAAAGTAGAATAGAGCAGCAACTCATATAGTGTCATATCCTGTTAGCTCATTGCCCGATAAAGAAAAAAGTAGTTTATTTTTTCATACTGCACTCTATGCTATAGCCGCCAATTTTCATCAATAACTTGACTATACAAACAACAAGTGCACTTCTAATGGACTGTTGACTTACTACTGATCTAGTAATGTGTTTCTATCTATCACTTAATTGATTGCAATGATTTATGTCTCTTAACGTCCCTCTTGTGAATTTCAAATCTGCTCAGTGAGAATTGGTGAGACTATGCTGAAAGATAAGAGAAATAATGACGAAGTTTATCAGTTTACCAGTAGTAGCAAAAGACACTCTTACAGCGCAGTCAGGTAGTGA